AGGGAAAGAACACATGTTTGAAAAGCCCCCTAACCACAGCTATTCTTAAGTCTTGCTCTGTAAGCCACCATAGTAATGCAGTTTCTTTCCCTCCCATTGAAGTTTTGTTTGCAGCAAGGCACTTCTGATGCCACTTGTTGGTCTCATCTGAAGAACTTGCTGTTAAGCAACTTGATGCACTATTGTAATGAACAGCTAATCAAGCTTGTCCTATCCCTTCGTCCTTGAAGGAAGACTGTTGGGAAATGATACAGTGAACAGCACTTCCAGTGCAAATTTACATATGTACAGTAAAACTATGTTCCAGACTTTTCTGGTTGTCTTTTTTCTGCAGCCAAGGTGACAGAAGCAGTGAGTTACTGAATGATAGACCTGGACTGTGATCACACCTGGTAACTGCTATCAGAAGTAGCACTTCAGTTATTGACAGAAGAAAGCAGCGTTATTACAACAAGCAATTTTTAGTGATTCTGTCAGTCAGCTTTGTTTACCACTTGTCAAGCAGCCCTAAGCAAGCTAACAGCAACAACAAGGAATCAAAGCTTGAAAGAACAGTGCTGTTTCAACACAGACTTAAGCTACAACTACTTACTGTCAGTGAAGGTTGCATGCATTTCAAAATTAGAGAACTAAGTCCCTAGAGCAGTTAATAACTAACAATTGTTAGTTACAGTTGATAGAATGAGCATGTGAATATGATTTAGGATAGTCAGTTACTGCTTTGTATATTGCCTTGGAACAAGTTACTGCATAGCAGTTTTGTGACTGTGCCTTAAAGCTGCCAACCCTACCATATCAACAAAGTTCCTTTTTTTTAAAAGCTCTGTATCACCCCCTCCCATTCTCTTTGTCCTTAAGCTTCCTTCTTTTGTAAAGAAATAAGCTGTGTGGCAGTCTTCCTCTGAGGAATGACCTAATCCTAATGCAGCACTTGCCAATTAGAGAGTTTTCTATTAAGTAGGGATGCATCTGATTACCTTTTATGCTGTATTTGGTTAACACTAATTAAATCCATCTCTTCATTGGTTTATATAGGTCCAGTTCCATCAAGAGGAGACAAGAGGCTCCTATTTATAGGTATATGCAGTCATCTGTTTCCTGATAAAGTTGTCTGAATTTATTGTCCTTTACAGAAAGGCAGCTCTAAGGCTATATATTTATGCTACCCTCACACTCTCACTGTATCCAGCTTGGCTAATACAAGAAAAACAAGCCAAGGAAACAAATCAGTAACAGTGTGCCCTTGAAATGAGTTACCTTCTGTTACAGTTAGATGAAATTTGCTTGTGGTATGCACCCTCTTGGAGTAAAATCAAGGAGTTAAAACGGTGCAAAACTGTTATAATATTGTATCATCTCCCACAGACCTGACACTTAAAAATCCACACTGTTGCACTTCTCTACAATTGTAATGACATGAACAAGAAAGTTGGTTCAATCAAAGCAATTATCAGTGAGGTTCAAGCAGGAATAAAGTTAGAAATTCCTCAAGAGCAGCTCTGGAAAACTATGTTTCCATTTTCTGAATTGGAAAGGATTTACTTTTTTTCTAGGGAAGTGGCCCTCAAAGGGCACAAGCAGTGTTGTTTTAACACTGCTGTAACAACATGGGAGCTATTGTTTCAGCCAAAGTCAATGAAGATCTGGTAAAGAATCTTATCAGATGTGTGCCTGCAGAGCAGTGCATCTTCCTAGCCTTGCCCTGGGGCTATCCCACACTGGGTGGGGAATACTGCCTGATGAAGCTGCCTCATAGGATGGCTGCAGATCCCTGCTTTACCGCAGCAGACAACTGCAAGAAACAGTTAACTGCAGAAAGCAAGCTCTTAAGAGAAAGGGAAGGGGGGGGGGGAGAAGAATCACCTCCCTTTAAAAGGTCAAGCTAGCATTAAAAGCTTTATTCTGCCTACACCTCTCTACAATGCGTCACACAATGATCTGACCTATCAGTACAAGCCATGAATTTGAAGAGCCAGTGCAATGGTTTAGGCCTCCATGATAATGAAAAACCAACAGAATGTTTTGTATTGTGCTGAAGAAGGAAATTGAACTTAAAATCGAGCAGAGACACCATTGTACAAGCTAGTAAGGCTCTCTGCTTCAGGAAAAAAGCTGAGAAAAGTAGAGCTGATTTCAGCTCCAGAGCATGAGCTGAGAGAGGTCCTAGCTTCGTAGCAGATCACAGTTTCCAAAGTAGGCAAGCACGGTTCCAACTGTTAAATCCCATGAGAAGTATTAACTCCTGACTTCCTAAGGCAAGAGAATGAGGCTTTCATCTAGTCAAGAATTAAACTTCCCTAGGTAACTTAAATAAAGCTGCAAAAACACCACAGTGGAGACCGACAGCTTCAAACATGATAGACCAGTGACCCACAGCAAGCCAGAACAACTGAAGACAACTTCTGAAAGATAACGCAAGCCATAACCAGTCACTTAAACATGTTTTCTAATAAATGCTGTTACATTTATCCTTCTTAATTGACAGATCAGATTACAGGGTAGGATGGGGATCCTCAGCCACATAAAGCTGTTTCCCCTACAGCCAGCCTACCTAAACCAGCAAATTGTGAACAACACTATAGACAACATGCCAGAAGATGCCTCTCTATTAACTACCGATAGATGAAAAGCTCAAATATTTCCATATTCTAAAGAGGAAGACTTGGGTCCATGGAAGTGGCAAAATATGATGAGACTGCTGTAGAGACCTGTGCAGTTGCTGTTTGTCTCTCCCTGAAAAAACAGGAAATGTTCTTCACATTCACCGACAGGTGACAAACCTCTCTTAAAGGCTTTTACTTCACCTAGATAGCTGGACGATATTCAGCCTGCCGTGACTTGTCTTACATCCAGGCAAGCACCTCCTAATGCCCAATTTGTTAACAAAGGAATTAGGAGGTATTTTAGGCTGCTACTGCATTCTTATAGGTAGAAGGGTTCAGACATGATTACACTGCAGAGTGCTGCATGGAGCACAGCTCCCTGAGTAGCGCTGATCCTGGCTGGTCAATCCTGGTACTAGCTTGATTCCAGAAGCAACAGAAAAGAAGCACCTGTCTGAACTTTCTTTTTTAAACCCACTGGTGGCAACAGGTAATCTTTTCACAAATACCTTTGGCTCAGTCATTCCCCTGCAATACTTATTTATTTGCCATTAAAGAAAAATATCCAAGGCAATGTAGTGCTCTCTGACAACCCTGGGGCATCGACTTGCCTTTTCTGCAGGAAAAGAACATGGAGACCTACAGGCCAGTTTCTTGAAACAGCTCAGCTATGCGCTCAATGTTAGATCATTTCTCTGCATCTAGCCTAGACTTTAGCTGCTATTGACAAAGGGTCAAATCCAGAACTAGCTTCCTTGACACAGAAGCTTCTTCCCTCACAACCAAACCTACTAATTCACTTCATCTGGACCAAGACCGACTCCTAGGAGCATCACATACGAGTCATAACCCAAACAGACAGTGGTTATCTAGAGATAGATCCTGCTGCCTACAATCCTTTGTAGCTCAGACCCCTTCCTTCCATTTCAGCTGCAGAGCATGTGACCTCCTATTTCACAGAACTTCTGTATTATATCTTCTCAGGAAGATATGCTGGGCCACACTTCGATGAACATTGTCAGGGGTCCACCGAAATCAGTGGTGTGGCATTAGTTTAAACTCCCTAAAAATCCAGGCAGGTCTTTACCATACTGGGCATAGCTCTTTACAAACAGAAGCATTAGTTGTCACTGAAAAATTGGTGGGGAAGCCAGAAGTTTATGAAGATGCTGTCCTGTCAGACAGAATTAGGAATTAAACACTGAACAGAGGAATCCAGTTACCCTCTGAGTCTGCAGATGGACAACTGCTGCTGTCCTTTCAGACTGCCTGAAAAAGTGTTTTTGCCATTACCAGCAGATTTGCTTTTGCACGCACAGCCACAGCATCACAGGACAGGTCAGCAAGGGACTGATACTCATCAGATGCCAGTCCCTTACACAGATAAGCATGACCTACCTGTCTGGGTGCAGTGTCACATTGCCAGGCTTGGAGCTACCTCTGGCAAGCTACCTTTTTCTTATATTCAAAAAAAAAAAAAAAAAAATCCAAACTCCGGTTACCTTCTCCCCAGTTCTACCACATGCCCTATAGCATTTTGAAGTGTTTTGTTGTGACGGTGCTGCCTGCCTCCTGCCTTGTAGTCCTCTCTTGCATCATGAAGATGCATGGAAGTGACCGCTAAATGAACCACCTTCCTCACCCGAGAATCGGCTTCTTGATAATGACCATAGACAGGTCTATGACTCTTTTGCTGGTCTGCAATGCAAAGTACAGCTGTCTGGATTATCTCTCATTTACAATTTAACATCACAGTCCTGGCGTGCTGCCAGCATCCTTTCCCCACTTCCTGCAGTTGTGCAAGTTGCTCCAATCCGAGCCCAAAG